GTTTCCTCCGGGTTTCGCATGTCAGTGGTGACTCGGTCGATGACCAAAGGAGCTCAGGAAGCGATGAGTGAGAGCGGCGATAAGAGCCCGGCCATGCTGGACGACGTTTCGGAGGGGGAGGGAGTAAGAGCGAGAACGAGCTCAAGCTAAAAATTGAAGCTCTAAAACTGGAACTCCAGCTCGCACAATTTAACGCGAAGCAGGCAGAGGAGAAGGCGCGTCGCGGTGGAAAAGACGCGGGTGAAAGAAGCAAGATGTCGGAATACGCAAAGGAGCTGCGTGCGGTGTTTGCTCAGATGCCCGATGTCGAGCTTATGGTCCCAGGATGGTTCAAAAACGTAGACACGCTGTTCGCGTCGCTGAGCATACCAGCGGAAGCACAGAGGGCCAGAGGGCATTCTTCCGTTTCTAACGGAAGAATGATGGCCCCCTGTGCTTCCGCTGGTATGCTCAGCGACGCGGACGGATAATGCCGTACCTAGAATTGAAAGAAAAAATTCTTAGAAAGCTTAATATGACCGGCAACGAATACCGGAGGTTATTCCTCACATCTCAAAAAACGGACGGCGAGTCGTGGGCACAATTTTCCACGAAACTGGAAACTTTTTTTTTTTTTTTTTGTGCTATCTGAACAATCGCGAGATTCAGACTCTGGATCAGCTGAAACACCTCATGGTGTCAGATAGGTTGAAGGAAGTCATGCCAGACGAGGTGAGAACCTGCGTTCTCCAAAATGAGACGAAAGGGTGGCTTAGACCGAAGGAGGTAGTTGAGCTGGCAGAGAACTTTGACGAAAGTCGTCGTGGGAGAAAGCCTCAAGGCAGGGAGAAAGCGTCGGACAGCGCACCCGTTCGAGGGCGAGATGGGCAGTCGAAGGAGACTGTGCCGACGACGACTGGCGGTGAGGGACGCGCCGCGGACCGAATGAGGGCAATTTGTTGCTTTGGTTGTGGTCGAACGGGACATATTCAGAGAAACTGTCAGCAGTCACAAGGGCAAGCAGACAAAGGTCGGGGGAACCAAAACAAACATGACCCGCGAAAATTGGTAGCCCAGGTGGCGTCTGTGCCAACGGAAACAGCTAAAGCATGCGTCGAAAGGGCCGGTATGAGCCTCAGGTGGGTGGATCTCGTAGTGGCAGACAGACCTTTGAAGGCCAGCCTAGATTCCGGGACAGAGATTACGGTGTTGAGATTGGAAACGGTTCGTGCGGCGTGCTTAAAGCAGCGTAACGGAACAATCAATTTGAAAGGCACGTTCGCCAAGGTGGTAACTGCCGATTTGGCATACGTGCCACTGAGTCTAGGAGTGGAGGGAGAAAGCACGGGCCAGCAAGTCCTCACACTGTGTGCGATCACCGACGAGCTGTCGGACAGTTTGGGAGCGTTACTTACGCCAGAGGTGTACGAAGAACTATTGCAAGTTCGATCGGTTCTCGAGAAGGAAGCTGCAGAAATTCAAGTTATGGAAAATGAGATAAATCAGGACCTCCGACACACACCTGGGAACACGGGATGAGGTGCTCGAGCGCGAAACCGCGGAGAACGAAGAAAAGACAGACGCGGACGGCGATGACTGCGGCGACATCGAGATCGAGCCGGCGGTTCAGACGGGCAAGGGGCACCCCACGCCCACCAGGAAAACGGACGACGACGACGACGGTTGGCCTGAAACCTTGCTTGAGCGGCAAACGGGTGAAGATCCGGAAGAAGACCGCAAGGAGAACGCATATGGCGAGGACCGCGGCGGCCGCGAGGTAAAGCCCGTTAATAGGAGAGCTGGCGCCGACGAGGCAGATGCACCCACCGGAGATCCGGTGACGCAAGGAGGCGAGAGCGGGAGTGATGGTGAAGGCGGCGACGAGGGGACGAACCTGATTGGCGACCTCGAGCGTAAGGATCAAGGGGACCTCGGCGCACCGGTCACCGCAGCACGGGGGATGCAAGGGCCGTCCCAGGCTGGAACGAAGCAGCTGCGCAAGGGGCGGATTGACAGGTCGGAGTCGACGGTCGAGAAGTACTCCGGTTGCAACCCAGCATCGGCTCCGAACTACGACGCGGACGGCCACTGCGGGAACGGGGACGACGGCGAGAGGACTGCGAAAGGGGTCTTGATCCCTCCGATCGAGGCGTCGAGACGGAAGCTCCGACTGCGGAGAGGCACCGACTTCGGGACCGAGGCCGTGTCGTCGCCGAAGGTGAAGCCGGCAGAGCATAGTAGGGCTCGGGGGACGCCCAAGAAGAAGATAGCGTCGAGCTACCCCAGAAGAGGGAGTCTGGACGCAAAGTGCTGCAGGGGCGGCAAGTGCCAAATGAGCACGGAGGACAGGAAGAAGCCACTCCAGCCAGTGGCTATAGAGCTCGCACGCGAGGACGGCAGACCTCTGGTTTAAGCTCGGGATCAGTGAGTGTCGTGGAAGCGACCGACTGCGCGCCGTCCCAGGCGGTCCTCAGATGGACGAGAAGACGGCCACGATTAGGGGGTAGCTAGCGAGGCTACTGGGGGTTTTGTTTCGCCTTTAGCCTACATTCATTTCACTGCCCTCCTGATTAATTTTTCTTTTGCTCTTCGGTTGGCCCCTCGGCGTTTTATATTTTACAAAGTATATACTTTTTGTGTTCAGTCTTTATTCTCTGCGGAAGAAGTTTGAGTGTCCGCACGTATTTGAAACGTGCTTCCCAGCTATAGCGTTGGTAAGCCTGTCGAGGCTAGATAGGCATGACTAGGGCATGATGATTATGCCACAGTTATGAGAGCTCCCACCACTGATTTTGCGGGACCCTGGAATGTACAGGAGTGGCTCCATCTTGTGTGTGATCGTTGATAGCAGTTTGGGTGATTTTGAACATGACCGCTATCATGACAATATTTCTTTTGTGCACCCATTCTGGTCGGTGCTCAGACGTTTTGCCTGCGGAAGCAGTGTGTTTGCCGTTTTAGTATTTTTGGGTGTAAAATGGTAATCCTTTTCTTTTCTTTTATTTTTTATCGGTGCCGTTTGATTTTGTTGACATTTACGGATGAGCGCTTGGTGAACTTTTTGAGCGTAATTTTGACGGGTTGCTTCGGTTCGAATATTTGTCAGTGAGCTATTGGGGGAGGAATTTATGTTGCACTTACATCAGGTGTCAACGCAACAGTCTTGGTGGGGAGGAGTTAAGTATTTAGAAATCATGATTATTAATGGGTTTTTTCTTTTGTTAGGAAAGTTTATCTTTCCAATGTTGCGTCGGTATTGTTTCTTTCTTTTCTTTTTTTTTTTAGCTTTCTTTGTTTGTGTTGGCGGGGCCAGAGCGGCCGCAATGCGGGAGCGGTTCCCCCGCAGTCGTTAAGAAACGTCTCGGGTTTCGGGAGTCTGCTCGGACTGCGACCGGGAGAGCCCGCGCTTGGAGATGCTTGTGGCTTTTAACCGAATGTGCCTGTATATAGAGGGTTTTGCCGCTTAGTGTAAAATTGTCGCTTTTTGCCCGATGCAATAATTTAGCGGTTGGCGCCAGTCAGACTGGCAAAAATGCAGAGAACGACTCTACAAGGAATTTGGGTTTGGCGGTTGGAGCGCCAGGATGACAGCTCGCCGACCATTGGAGAACAGTGTACCACGTGTGAGTGGTGGAATTTGAAGAGATTGGTCGGTTCCTGAGGGGAAAGGAGGCCCCTACGGGCCTACAAAAATAGTGCGGAGAGAATTTTAGGGGATTCGATCGAACTTTGGAATTGATTGAGAGAAATCGGGAAGGGGGTCGAGACTTTAGACGAGGCAGAATTGTCTCCCAAGTTGGGACTTGTAACTAGAGTGTAAATAAATGCACATAGTTCTCCACAAGCAGTGAGTCGACCTGTCATTCAGCGACATTCGTGCCACCACACCCCAGACCATCGGACCGGAACCTGCCGCCCACACCACCGGGAGGACTAACAACTTTAACTGACCCGTTTGGATCAAACGTGATTATGGGCTACGGGTACCCGTTTGACACATTATTCATTTGAAACGATACCCGTTTGATGCGGTACCCGTTTGATATTGTACCCGTTTGATACGGGTGCCGTTCGACCTGGCACGTGACCACGCATTTGAGTGCGCCCTTCGGATATTCAGGCAAATCATTGGTTAGACCTGTGCTGTGGCCTTTGGGGCTGCCGTAGATTTCAGTGGTGAATTATATATCGTCCGCGACAACGTAGTTTGAGAGTACCAAAGCTATCACTGCTCGAAAAGTCTTACGCGTATACAGCAACGACGATTTCTTCCGAGAAGCCACACAAATTCTTGTGATGTGGTTCCATTCAGCAAATGACGGTATGATATCTTAAACTTATGTAAGACGTCCGGAATTTCATAAACGTTATTATAACATGGAGGGAACCCGTAAAAAAATGCACTCGCACAGGTGTTTTTGCAAATAAGCGGGAAAGCAGACACAAACTATTGTTTGCAAATCACCTATAAGTTTATTACATATAGTATATTCCGTAGGCAAGTATAAACGTGATAGCGATCTTTTAAATATAAAGAGGTACTACTAAGCTTTTATAAAACTGAGAAGATAGCAAAGCAAACAAAACCGGGGTAATTCTAGTTATAGTGTCTATGCTTCCGGCAGCCTGGGAAACATTTCCCCAAAATTCTACCGGCAGAAGCCCCTCATTGTCGGCGGAAATCAGTTCATCGAACGACGTTACATCGACAGATCGTTTCATTGACACGCTGTTTCAGTTCATGCGTTGTAGCATAGTATGCCGTGAATTGTATTTGGAAGCATAATACAAACGAATGCATGCACTCTGACCCCTGAAGCACTCGAAGTACCACTAACCGACCTTTTTTGTTATTGACCTAACCAGAGAGAAGGACAAGCGGTAGCGAGCTTCAATGACCAGCATTCTATTGGGCAAAGCCTTTCTCCTCGCTGCATGAGCCGTGAAGCGCAGTACCGCTCGCTTTTCCCACTAGCTACGCTGACCAAAGGATTGCTAATGACTAATGCCTCGAGTGTATAATGGACACTCACTTCATATACATTTTTCAGAGTACATAAGACGTGTGTAATGTGAGTGTGTATTCGTCCAGTTTTTTTAGAGATAGGCTGCCAAGTACATGGGACGTTTTCCATGTGATGTTCACATCTTAAACTAGGTTCCTTCTTTGCCCTTTCCAGAGTTCCTCGCTAGTTGGCTGAAAGCGCTCGTACTGCGCATGAAGAGCTCCAGTGGATGGCTTCTGTTTTCGGTGTACTTCTCTTTGTTCCTGGACAGCGCCCTTCTCACAGCCGTCGGTGAGAAGCCCCCGAATTTTTATACAAACACTCTGCATGCTTGTCCCTAGCAAACAATGCCCATCGCGCTTGAAGTGCATAGAAGGACGGCAATGTTAAGAAAAAAGATAATGCTAACGGCGCAATTAAATTAGAAAAAGACATGTTTTCACTTAAAAGTTAAATGTTTACTGTTTGCTCTCCTCAAGATAGCCAAATCAAAGTTAGAGTGGAGACGTTGCCCCTTTGTTTTGAAGAGCTGTTTTGTTTCAAAATCACTCCGGAAATTTACAGCAGAAAGTTTCAAACAAGATGTATTGATTGTCAACTAAATACATACGCCACCATAGCAGCTCTTGCACTGTATACTTGTGCAAAAAGGTTTCAGAGAGGGGCATAGAAACATTTTTACTACATCAAGTGTGGTGCTACAGGACTCGGTTGATAAAGGTTGAGCCTATTTTGAGCCTGTGGTGTTGGTTACCCTACCGAGAAACCCACTATATGGATTATGAAACTGGAAATCTATCTGCATTCTATCTGGATTTATGGGTTTCCAAAATTATTATTATTATTTTTTTTTTTTTGCAATTTACCAATCCAGTTATACTGCGTTTTTTGGTAGGGTATGCCCTTGCAGGGGGTGAACTTCTCCCTTTCATTTCTTTAATATATGGCCAGTGTTATTCTGGCACACATTTTTGTTGGGAGCACTGCGACCGGCCACCCTCCAGTTGTTTAGGGGGGTGTAGAGCTTCAGCGCTTTTCTTTAGGGACGGTCTTCCTGGTGCTTTTTGGCAGGCTGGCGAAATGTGGATCCTTCCGTTCATGGTGTTTGTTACTTGATTATTGTGACATATTTTACTGTAAAAGTTTCCTCTCTTGGAAAGTAATATTGCTAACATGCAAATGCAGATAGAGAAAAAATCCAGCAGTTTATCTTTGGTAATTTTTAGCTGTTGATGGAAATGCTGCTGAATAGGGTACAAAATGGACTGTTCAATGATGTAGCAAAGCGTGCTCTCGTGTCAGAACGCCCGAAGTATTCATGGGTCGCTTTGTTTCTCCCGCTGGGTTGTTACCTGGGCGGCAATTCTACCCAGGCTGTGTTGATAACACACCTGGACTGCAGTTTTCCAGCTGAGTCATCTAGACGTTGAAGGTGCAGCGGAATCTACTGCAGATGGCCCATTTAATTTCAGAGGAGAGCTGTCTGAAGCAGTTTCTGTTCTTATTGCTTTTGAACGTTTTCCTGAATCGAAAGGTGTATGCATCGCTTAATATTTTTTTTAGGTGTGAATTGTTTCTGTCGGAGTCTCAGTGATGTGATTGCTGCGTCAATTGCGCCAAGGGGCTGACCCTGCTACATCTTGCTACATTTTGCCGAAATATGGGTAATCTGCGCCAAGCCTGCGCCAAAGAACAAGTTTTGCTCGCCTTTCAAAACCGAAACTAAACTGAGTACCATAATTGAGCATGTGTGAGCTAGGTGGCGCAAGCGGCTGCCCGAAACTACGTACCCTGCATCAATCGTCCATCCGGTCTTCCACGGTTTTTCCCGCCGTCTCTCATTTCGCGCTCTCGTAGGTCTCGTCTCGCACCCTTTTAAAATGTTTGTAACGATAGATGCAAGTGTGTGCGGACGCTCCGACACTAGCTTGCCATGCCGTCACGTTGTGAAACGAAGCACTTTTTTGCGCGGCGGGAATTGCTTTGTGATCTGAAGCACTCGCTCCTGAAAGCAACGGCCGTGGCAAAACCACATTTGGTCCCTGCGTACCAGTCACCGTGGTTGCATGACGTAGGGTGTTCCCGTCCACATACTGCTGCAGATATGGCGCTTTTTAAACTGAAACGTAGGGAAGGCCGCCGCAAGGTAATCAACACTCCTGTTCTTGTTTAAATAATACGCAATTACAATTTTTTTCAACTCAGACGGTTGTGTCGAAGTATTGATTACCTAGGTTTCTCTCGGTGGGTTTTATTTTGAGAGGGACCCCCGTACGTGAAAAGTCTGTCGCCAAATAAAGTTGAAGACAAGTTAGCTAAAGCAAAAAAGGTAATGTCTGCATGCTGAACCCGCGCAGCGCGCTTGTTTGTCTCGAGTTCAGTCGTCACACAAAGCGCTTGAAGAACTTTTTCACCCTGACTCGCTGTCTTTCTTCGATGTGCTCAGGTTCGTTTTTTATGTGTGTGTGTTTAGCTTGTACTTCGCCAGCCGGCCTGGCAAGCACGCGTCGCTGGACTGTTTTTTGTCGTATGCTGGACCGTTACATTTTGCATACAATTTTGGGAATCAGTTGGCGACGGAGCCGAGTGGCATGGTTTCGGTTTCGATCGAACAGTCGTCTACGCCCCCACGACGAAGCGCGTGCAACTGCAAGCTACCGAAGTAGCCCTCATGTGCATGCGAACATGATTGCACGACAGAGGCACCAGCCGGGACGCTGGCAGTCCATTGCTTTACGTCTGCTTGCTTTTTTTGGACATCTGGCACATCGGGAACCAGTAAAACGGTGGCAAGCGGTTTTTTGGAACTGCTCGGCAGCGCCTACAGCACTGTAAACTTGTGGGATGTCTCAATGTCTCTTTGAAGACATTGAAAGTGGAGATTCGTTACCTGCCGAAAGCAAAGCGAGGCTTGCAGCAGCCTTGCAGAAAGTTCCGAAAAGCAAAAGGAAAAGCACCTGCTAGTCGGACTGCACCTTTTTCCATCTGTACAGTTTCGCATTGCAGTGCAGTAGTTACGTGTTTCATCAGTCGGAGACTGTTTCAAATCATTATATTATATAACTAGTCAACTAGTAATATATACTTATTTACTATTACTACGAAGCTGGTCATTTTATTGCATTTACTAGCATTTTCTAGCATTAACTACTAAGCTGGTCATGTTCAAATAAATTTAATATGTGCAGTTTGGTTCTCATTTATTTATAGCGGGTACATATATATGTATCTTTTAACTGAAGAATTGCAAAATATGTCATGTCATTGGCTTTTCAGTTAACATGTTGAAAGACTCCCAGGTGGTCTAACTTGACCATAATTTGTTTATTGCCGCGAGCAAAGTGGTCTGCCTTTGTCCAGCACTTAAAACAAATATTTTTATTTTTCAAAGTATATCTGCTCCGAAAGCCACTTTTTGCTGCTCCGAAGCACTGTTTTGGCTGCTCCAAAAGCCACGTTTACTGCTCGAAAACACCGTTTTGGCTGCTCCAAAGGCCACTTTTGATGCTCCAAAACACTGTTTTGGCTGCTCCGAAAGGTGCTCCAAAACGGCTGAGGCCAATTACATCACTGGAGTCTCTTCCATCACGCATTGTAGCCACATACTTTTTATGGAACGTGACAAAGTGGGTTTTCATAAAATATTAGGAAGTTCGTCTGAACTGGGATTTTCACCGAAATTTAAAAGATAGCATAGGTTTGCCCCACATATTGCCCGAAAGTTAGAGACATGTCTTGAAATTGTTATTTTTTATAGAAAACACTAGTGATAACTACGCACTTGTTACAAACTCGAGTGCTTATTCTGCACAGTTGAAAAACCTTAATACACGAAGCAATCAAGGCAATAAAAACGAAAGCGTTCAATATCAGGTGAGATGTGCTTACGTGCTTTAATTTGAACGCACCATGTTTCAGCGCGCCCTACCGTATACAATATTTCAACACCCCTCTTGAACAAACCGAAAGCAAAAAAACTCCCGAAGGGACTTGATTTCAATGCAACAACTGGTGCTCGCGCTTCTGGTGCGCTGGGGTGGCCTACTATGAGCACAAAACCATTATGTGCTTTCAAAATCACACTGGGAAATAAAAATGGCTAATGACAATGGATGATGACTGATGCTCAGCATCAGTCATCATATGACAAGGCACTGTTCCCGCTCGTCATTCGTTCAGCAAGATCCATACATTTATCGCAACGGTTATCTTTTCCAGTACTCTGGGGGGAAAATTACACGACACCGGAAATTTGTTTGGGTTAAAATGTTCCAGGTGAAAAGATAATGAAAGTATGACCCATTGCACTATCCAATGTTCCCTTTGAAGAAAAATATAATTCGCTCCAATCCATGAAAGACGTACTTCATGCTGCCGGCGCATTCGTACAACCCATGTTCTTGATGCGCGTTATCGAAAATATAGACAGCAAGAACTTAATCACATGCTGAATATAACGGGGGCTGCAGATGAGCCTTTCAAATGCCTCCTGTCTTTCGCAGTGCCAATACTTCCTGATTACATATACCACCTGGAACACGGGGAAGGATCGGACCTGGGGCGTCTGAACCAGAGCGTTCGGTCGGCCAACGAGACGAGTGCACACCGACGGAACGTTAGCAGTTTGGTGAGCGAGAACGGCAAAGTGGGCCTCATGTTCGCCTCCAAAGCTCTTGTGCAGCTTTTCTCGAATCCAGTCACTGGGACATGGACAAATCGGTGAGTCCACACTAATGTGTTTCGTGTCGCCCGTAGCATTTTCTGGTCTTGAGTGTCGCGCTGGAGTCGAGAAGGGGAACAGGGAAGGGGGGAGGGCTAATGAACACGAGGGTATGTTAAGGTATGTGCGCCGAATGCATTGCTGTATACAGGGCTACGCTTTGAGCTATTTTAGGAATGCACACCGCTTCATTAGAGCGTTCCTCTATATCCTAGAAGCTGCACTTGTAGCTCTATAACGGGATCACGTGCTTCATTATTCAGAGGATTTGCTCATTCAGAGCTTCCATGAGTCCGAAGGCAAGACAAAATCACGAAAAGACCGAAAGGTAAAAACAACTGCGTGGTGGCGTTCTTTCTTTTCAGAGCGCAGCTCTTAGGCGCCCGTTTCCGGCATGAGCGGCGTCGCCGTCGCCGTAGGCGTAATTGCGTGGTGCATTACGGGTAAATTTCCCCGCTAAATTTAGCGAAAAATTTTCCCCGCTAAATTTAGCCCAAAAATGTCCCCGCTAAATTTAGCAGGGAATCTTCCCCTAAATGGCACGCGAGGAGGAGGGTCACAGCCTCCTCTCCGTACCTTCCCCTCCTCCTCCTCAAGAGCTGCGCTCTAATTCGGCGTTACAGGGGATTGTAAACGTCTTATTTTTCATATTAACCTTTGCATTAGAGGCTATTAAATTTTAATAATAACGAAAATAAAATTGAGTTTTCTTTCGTATCAAGTTAATCATAGTTTGTCAGACTAGGCTGAGCTCGTCCATCTTTTTCTTTTCTTTTTCTCCACTTTCATTTGCTGGATCTACCATTTAGCCCCAGCCAACTTCCTGCCTGTATATATTTTCTTATTTTTACGCATTCTTATTTAATCTTACGTATTAAAAATATCTTCATACCTTTCGACACGAAAATTTGTCGAACATATAACATAGATGTCATTACGGAAGCACTGTAAAACCTAAATTCTGGTTCAGGAGCGGTAGCGTTTCACACAGGTGCTGCCATATTACAGCCCACACGACAAATAGCGAACAGTGTGAAAAATGGCAGCGCCGTGTTGCTCCTAGATATCCTCGCAGAGTGCAAATAAAAAATGATTCTACGCCTGAAGGCCCGCGACAAACCGGACCCAAATCAATACTCCAAGTGGTGCTTCGGCCTTGAGGCGGTGAAGGAGGAGTGGAGCGGGACAGGTTGCGAGTCATCTTTTCTTACGAGCTACAAGCACGACTGGCGTGCGCATAACTTCGATCCAGCACTCTGCCGGTAATCATACTGCCGCGTTTTCACTGGTTCTTCAAAAAAACAAAGGCAAATGAAGCAAGAGTAGAAACGAGAGAAAAGTCATGATTACGAACAGGTTGCACTGACTCGGAATAATTTATATTCATACATGGCAACTTTTGTTTGAGACAGGTCGTACTCCCTAACTGCCCTTGGAACACAAGAAAGTATGGCACAGTTAAAACGAAATCCAATCAGGTCCCAGAAAAAAACAGCTTTGATATCCAGTCCGTCGGCGATAAGCAGTGCTAGAATTTTAGCCCCTTTCATTTGTCGCCCAAATAATACAATCATATGTGCAGGCACTGCTAGAACATACTTGGCCGTGATCAATGAAATGGAATGGTTATACTAAGCCCTCAATAGCCTCTACTGATACTTGGTGTTTTCGACGTTTTAATGGGCCTATTAAGACGCCATCTTAAAGGCCCGGTGTATTCAGATCCGAAATTTCTGGGGCAACTTCACCGACCTTTGCATCATCTAGAGTTGGTTCCATATACGTCCTGATTTCTCAGGTAGACAAAAGTTGTTCTAGTTCGTGCGAAGGAAATATCATGATTCCTGTGGTTTGATGTATTACCTGTCTGAGGCGTTTATGATATATAATAAAGAAAGCTACAAATAAAATTACAGAATCATGTGACAAACATTTTTTAGTAAAACATTCGTGTCATTCGTTAACCAAGAAACCGTGTGTTTCATCGAACATCGGTCAAACGTTTGGGGCAACATTTACGCATTTCACAGAAATAAGAATATTACCGTAATAATTAGTTCACTGGAAATTATTTATTAATTCAGTTGGAATAACTGATTATTTAATTATATTTGCATTTTAGTTAGGGAAAATAAACATCTTGTTTAATTATAATAAAAAAGAATGGCAGAGTTATTATGTTCAACATTTTGTGATTAGTTGTTGGGATATCCTTTATGGCCACAACCTCATCAACTGCGAAGCAATAGCAAGATGCTGAGGAATTGTCACACCAGCATTTCACAATGTCTCAGCGACTATAGGAACTTGACGTACATCCTCACATACCATTAAATAAGGCAACGCAAAACAAAAAAAAAAAAGAAGTATGTTTAGATTCCAAAAAGGCGACCACCTTCAACAAATCTCCGCGGCTTTTTTTTTTTTTTTTGTCATTCCCATTTTTGCTTTGCCAGCTTTGAGCCTGTAGGACAAGCGTGAGCTTTTGCGCACCACCAATCTCCCTAAGCACTTCGAGTCTTTCTAGAATAGATGTAGTTGTATTCGGCGATGTTCAGCAAGTTTCTAACAAAAACTATAAGTTTATTTTACTTAACAAAATACTACTTGTGAAAACTACAGGGTGATTCAAGGAGACGCCAGGCTCTTTAAATCGACCGCAAAATTCGGTTTCTTAACCTATCGCGCTACGACTTTGTGCAACGTTGCCCACAGATGGTGCTTTTTTTTTTTTTTTTTTTTTTGTAAAATTTGCAAAGAGCGAACTTACCTGAGGAAAAAGTAAAGAAAGAAAAAGGCTTAGCTCCCATGGAAACGCAGCGACGCCACCGGTCTGCAAACAACACGGCGTTGTTTCGCACGAGAGACAAGAGATGCAGCAACGAACGCCGCCAACGAACGAAGCATACGGCCGCCCAAAAGCCGGCCTCTTTAGCAGACGATCTTTCGACTCAAAAGCGGCGTGCGTTCCGCAGGCGGCGAGAATTCGGGAAGAGGCAATGGCAGCATACGCGTGGCCACGAACACACAAATATGTTCACTGGAGTATTCATGCGTTTTTTTTTTTTTTGTTTCGTTTGTGCGAGCGGCAACTGCATTTTTTTTTTTTTTAGGTGGAGCGGAGATAGAGACACGGGAAGAGGCTTCACGGAAGTGATGCATCCAAATGCATATGTGGTTGGCCCTAATGAGGGCCATTTGGCACAGCTCAGTCTTCGGAATGCTTGTCAATAAAAACAAACAAAACAAAAAACGATGAGAGGCTTCAAAACGAAAATGGCCTGACGATTTTTTCTTTTCAAATCCCGCACCATACTGTAGTTTTTAACGTGTAGCCAGCTTCCTCCTGGTGCCAGTGAAGGTTTTCCTCAGTCCAATATCGGAAATTCTGCTTGTTCACATGGCCATCGAGGTGGAAAATTGCCTCGTCGCTGAACATCAGAAACTGGAGATGGCTTGGGTCAGCTGCAATTCAAGCCAGCTAATCTTGACAAAATGCTAGGCGCTTCGCCTTGTCATTTTCTGAGAGCTCTTGCAGGATCTGCATCTTGTACGCAAACAAGCGGTTCTTCTTCAAGACCCGGTGAACGTAGGGTTGAGAAACGTCGAAAAGCCTGGCCCCCCTTCGTGTTGATAGGTGCGGGTCCGCAGGGGCGACAGACGGGTCCGTTCCTTGTTGCGGACGTCTCCGTTCTCTTCGAAGCGTCTTCGAAGCTCGGAGGCCGTCGCCTGAACTCCGTTCGGAAGCGTCGGCGGACTTCTTTCGTCCTATGGCACTCCCCGTACCAAAGTACGACCTTAGCTCGTTTGCTAGGAGTTAAACGCACCGTACCGACGTTAAACGTAAGAAAACAGCGCGAATGACAGTCGCAGAACCAAAGACAGACGCGGTAGTAAAGACGAACTGCAAATCAGACGACTTCTGTACCCCGAAAAAAAAAAAAAAAAGAGTCAAAATAACCCGACAAACCATTTTTTTATTCATCATCATCATTGTCCTGCAGCGCCATCAGGCATTATCGCAGGGGGCGAATAAACTCTGAAAAAACATTTCTGAATTCGCGGCACACACAATCGCACTGGGCAAGGCATTCCACTCCTTAATTGTTTTAACAAAAAAAGAATTTTTGCCCAATTCCGTCCTGGTGCGGTATTCTCTAATCTTATGAATGTGGTCTTTTCTTTTTGAGATATAATTTGGTGGTAATAAGTAAAATGAGCTATTAATGCCAGTTTTATTGTTATAAATGTTGTATAAAAACTTCAAGCGCAAATTTCTTCGTCTTAATGCCAATGTAGACCATCCCAGTTCTTTTATCATGTCGGTTACACTCTCAAAGCGGCCGTACCGCACCAAAACGAAACGAGCGGCACAACTCTGAATTCTTTCTAAAGCAACAATGTGGTTTTGCTGAGAAGGATCCCAAACGGTGCAGGCGTACTCTAGCACTGGGCGCACATAAGATAGATAGGCGAGCTCTTTGATAGATTTAGTTGATTTTCTTAAATTTCGTTTTAAAAATCCAAGCGCTCTGCCGGCCCTCATAACAACGTCGTTAATGTGTGCGTTCCAGGTGCAGTCAGCTGACAGAGTGACGCCAAGATATTTAACTGTTTGCTGTTTTGTTACGGTTTCATTATTCAGTTGGTAACATGTTTCAACTTTTGTTTTGGTTTTGCGGGTAAAACTAACATGGGCACATTTTTTAACGTTTAACTCCATCTTCCACTTTTTACACCATTGCTCTATTCGATTCAGATCACACTGCAGCCGCGTGGAACTCCCCTCGTCTGTTATGCATGTATAAACAACACAATCATCGGCAAACAATCGTACCTGTGAATTTACACCGTCATTAATATCATTAACAAATATCAGAAACAACAATGGACCCGAAACGGACCCCTGCGGTACACCAGATGTTACCATAACAGTATTTGAAGTTTTACCATTTAAAACAACACGCTGAAGACGTGATGACAAATATGCTTTTATCCA